CTACTGGGGGTGCTGAGCCTGGGGGTGCTGAGCCTGGGGGTGCTACGCCTGGAGGTGCTGAGCTTGGGGTTGCGGAGCCTGAGGGAGCTGGGCCTGCTCATGTGGCGTCTGGCGGTGCTGAGCCTGGAGGTTCTCCGGGTGCTTCGTCTCGGCGGGAGCCACTCTCTCCACAGGAGCTGCGCGAGTGGTTTGCCCGGTGCTGGAGGCGTGCTGCTGGAGCTGGAGGTTCTTCGGCTGCTGAGGGTGCTGGTGCCGCGGGTCCCGGAGGTGCTCATACTGGGAGTACTGGAGCTGCTGGGCCTGCGGGTACGACTGGAGCTGGAGCTGCTGAGGGTGTTGGCGCTGAGGCTACTGCTGTCGGTCCTGGAGGCGGTCCTACTGGGGGTGCTACTGGTGCTGCTGGAGGTACTGGAGCTGGAGGTGCTGCTAGCGCTGGTGCTGCCGCTGGGGGTACTGGTGCTGTCCCTGCTGTGTCTGGAGTCGCCGCGCGGCCTCGGCCGTACTTCGTTCCGCTCCTTCAGCAGGTTCTTGGTCTCCCGCCTTCTACTGGTCCTCCTCCTCCCTTAGAGTGTCCACAGCCTGTCCCGTCACAGTTACAGTTACAGCCGGCCTCCCCACTGCCCGCTCCTTCTCCCTACACTGGTCCTACTGGAGGTCTTACTGAGCGTCGTGAGCCTGCGTCTCGCCCTGCGTCGCCTGTCCGTGCTGCTCGCACTAGTGGTCGTGGTTCGCGTCAGCGTCCTCCTCCTGTCCCTGGCACGCACCGGATGTCTCTGCGTCCGTCCACTGCTCCTCTGCGTGCCCCTTTGCCTTCTCCTCCTGAGTCCTCTCTTCCTGCTCTTCCTGACCCGGAGTCGGACTCCCTTCGTGCTGCCAGTCCGACTGTCACGCGTCTCCTTGCTACTGTTGTCACTGACCCTTCCTTTGAGTCCACTGCTGCGTCTGCCCTAGTTGCTGAGCTCGTCGACTTTGCTGCTCGCTGTCGTCTAGACTACGCTGCTAGTCTTGTTGCTGAGTCTGAGTCTGTCTGTCCTCCGTCCGTCGGGGGTGAGTGTGCCCTTGGCACGGACGTCCTTGAGGACAGGCAGGAGGAGTTCCAGTGTCTGGCTGCTGCTTCACCTCATCTCGTGTCCGTACTGCTTACCCCTGAGGGAGACCCGGATGCACTTGACATCCCGACTCCGCGCTCTTACGCGGAGGCGATAGAGGGTCCTTACTCCTCTTAGTGGCAGGCAGCTATGGACGCAGAGATGGCTTCCTGGAAGTCCACAGGCACCTACGTTGATGAGGTTCCCCCGCCTGGGGCGAACATCGTCAGTGGCATGTGGATTTTCAGGGTGAAGCGGCCGCCGGGTTCTCCGCCTGTCTTCAAGGCGCGTTACGTGGCTCGTGGCTTCAGTCAGCGGCAGGGAGTTGACTACTTTCAGACCTTCTCTCCCACCCCGAAGATGACCACTCTTCGGGTACTGCTGCACATAGCTGCTCACCGCGACTACGAGCTGCACTCTCTTGACTTCAGCACTGCTTTCTTGCAGGGCAGCCTGCACGAGGAGATCTGGCTGCGTCGCCCACCTGGCTTCACTGGGTCCTTTCCTCCTGGCACCCAGTGGAGCCTCCGGCGGCCAGTCTACGGTCTCCGCCAGGCACCGCGTGAGTGGCACGACACACTGAGGACTACACTTGCGGCTCTTGGGTTTGCTCCCTCTACTGCCGACCCGTCGCTGTTTCTGCGCACCGACACTTCTTTGCCGCCGTTCTACATCCTCGTGTACGTCGACGACTTGGTCTTCGCCACAGCTGACACTGCTGGACTCGCCCACGTGAAGTCGGAGCTGCAGAAGAGACACACGTGCACAGACCTGGGTGAACTGCGCAGCTACCTTGGCTTGCAGATCACCCGGGACAGAGCACGCCGCACCATTACGCTGACTCAGTCACACATGGTGCAGCAGGTCCTTCAGCGCTTCGGCTTCACGTACTCCTCGCCTCAGGCCACTCCTCTGCCTACTCGCCACTCGCTCTCAGCTCTGCCTTCGGATGAGTCCGTAGAGTCGAGTGGCCCGTACCCAGAGCTTGTTGGCTGCCTCATGTACCTGATGACCTGCACACGACCTGACCTTGCATACCCTCTTAGCATTCTGGCACGCTATGTTGCTCCTGGGAGACACAGACCGGAGCACATGGCTGCAGCGAAGAGGGTGTTGCGCTACTTGTGCAGTACGTCGGGCATGGGGCTTGTGCTTGGAGGGCAGAGTCCAGTGGTCCTCACTGGGCACGCAGACGCTTCTTGGGCTGACGACCAGGCTACGCAGCGGTCGTCACAGGGTTACACCTTCAGCCTTGGTTCCGGCTCTGTTTCGTGGCGGGCTACCCGCTCGTCTTCTGTTCTCGGCTCCAGTTGTGAGGCTGAGATCTACGCCGGGGCCATGGCTGCACAGGAGCTTCGCTGGCTCACCTACCTGCTCACTGACCTCGGAGAGCCGCCTCGTTCTCCTCCAGTGCTGTACGTAGACAACAAGGCCATGCTGGCCTTGTGTCGAGAGCAGAGACTGGAGCACAGAACGAAGCACATTGCTCTCCGCTACTTCCTTGCTCGTGAGCTACAGCAGCGTGGTCAGCTACGGCTTGCGTACGTGGCCTCTCAGGCCAACACTGCTGATATCTTCACCAAGGCACTTCCGCCTTGTGATCATCAGCGCTTCTGTACTCAGCTGGGTCTTGTGCCTACCTTGCCTCACTTGCTCACCCCTTGACCTTGCTTGTACTGTTGCATATATATATACACCTGCTCTTGCTTGTCTAGCCTTATATATATATGCAATCCTGCATGTGAACTGGCCTTGTGGCCTTGAACTTGTGCTCGGAATGTGTGGTGACTTTGTGATCCACCCTGAGCTTGTTTTGCTTTGCTTGACTGGTCTTGTGACCCCTTGTTCTCCCCCACTTTGCCTATGGGGGTGTGTCAGATTTATATGACATAGCTACTGTAGGCTATAGTGGGGTAGCACATATGGGGTACAGTTTTCTAGGGTTTGCTTTTGTACCCAACTTTCCTTTAGTCATTTCATTCCTCGTTTCTTCTCACATGCGAACCTCAGGGCGTGTCCAGCGCGTTCATTTCGGGAAATTTAGTACCCCTATAAATTTACCTCACGATCCGGGGTTCAAAACCACTTTTCGCACCTATAAACGAATGGGTCCTGCGTCGAGTCCACCCTTTTTGTCAATTCTAGCGCGCGTACACATTCCCCCCACACAGACTTCAACAGTGCAGGGGCCGTGTGGAAACCGTGGTAACCGGTTTCCTCGTCAACCAAAGCGTTGGAATTTTTGTCAAGCCAACACTTCCACTACTGGTTTTGGCGAGTGTCAAGCGGCACTGGCGAAATCGAGCGCGCGATACGATGGGCACTCACTGTAGTGGGCAGGACGCGGTTCTGTACCATTAGTCGATGCGCACGCTGATTCCTGTAACATGCTTCACACTATTCGAGGTACGTGCAGGGGGTGTGCCGTATCTTGAACGGGAGCTGATCATGTCTGGTATTTTTGTAAAACTCAGTGTTACAGTGCAAAATGTGGTAACTGAAGTGCTGTACGAACAGTAAATTAACGAGCTGGACACTCCCTTAATCGATATTTCCAGTAGCGGTGTGGTGGAACGGAGGCCTTGTTCTCCAGGCAGGTGGCATCGGCATGGCAGCTGCATCAGAAGCATTTTGTAAGAAATTTTCCCCTGGCGACCAAACCACCCCTGTGAAGGGCAAGTTTCGCATTTCGGCCTCGGAAAGCAGGGGCTCGAGACTGGCGTGTTTCCGCCCCCTGTTGCAACAGTTTCGTCACGGGCTGTAAACCGGGCAATCCCTCTTCCATACCGTGGCCATTCGCCTCTCTCGGGAGGGTGGGCATGGGGTGGCACAAGCATAAAAATTTGCCTGAGAGGGAAAACGCTGGGAGGCTTAGAACCCTTTTGATGCTGTCAACAGAAGCCATGTTCTGCAGCCGACGCCATGCCGTTTTGGTTCGGACGGCATCGAGAGGCTTGACGCGATTTTCTGGGCTGCCCCCCAAAAATTTAACGCTTTGGCAGCTTCTCTGCACATTCTTCAGGCGGCATCGAGTGCCTGGAGAACAAGGCCGGAGTGTCCAGTACATGTGCGGTTCAACTCCCAGGAAAAGGGACTGACCGAAGAACTCTTGGAGCTTCAAATCTCTGCTGTTCAGTTCAGAAGCTGGATTCATTTGGAACAGAATGCATGTGTTGCTTCAGAAAGAGATTACCGATCTATGAACTATCATATCATTATTTTCAAGTACGATAAGACAACCACAAACAATACCAATTGGTTTTTGTGTTGTTCGTTAGATTGGGTTAACATTGGAAGACCAACACTTGCAAGTGTCGTTTGTTATAAGCATTTCCTAGTTTAACTTACACGATAGGTTGATATAAGAAAGCTTGGACTTTTTGATACATAGGCTATGGTGTACATGAGCTCTTTGTATAGTGTACCTTAATTTTTATGATGAATTTCACGATTCTGCATCTGGTCATGCACCCATTTGTACATAAAAGAGCATATATGCTTCTTTCTGGGATTGAGAGGCTGTGACATCACCCTCTGGTACCTGCAGGTTTGATTCGAAGGGAGAGGAGAAGTTTTGTGCAAGGAGAGGCAAGAAGGTGAGCATGCACGCAGGGGTTTCAGGGCCTGTAGGCAAGAATAGCCTGGTGCTAGGGCGGGGATGGAGTGATGTAGGCAAGGTTCAGATAAAGAATTATTGCCATTGCAGCAACGTGCATCCATACAAGATTGCCGTCAACATTGTCAGACGAACTCACGTTTCTGATCACGACGCCATCATCGAGCTGTGTCCAACCAGGCGGTGACAGGCTGTCATCCGCCACGTCAGCAATGTAATGACCATGCGCCACAGAGGTCCCCGTGTGTCGCACCACGGCCCGCAGCGCGAATAGGGAGTTGCCACGTGGCTGTGGTTCAGTGGAAATAGAAGGGGGAGGGAGTCAGATGAAGTTGAGAGAAGGGGAAATGGGACAGTGGCATGCTGCCATGCTGCCGTGCTGCCGTCGGCCGCTAGAGCATGGCATAAGGGAAGACGGGTAGTGGCACGAGGGATGCGTGCAAAACAAACAGCCTGATTGTGCTGCAGCAGCAGCCATTTGCTGCAGAAACCCTTCCCTCACCGAGCCATTTGAGTGACATATTCTACAACTCACCTCTGTGCCTTGGGAGATATCTTCCTGCATCGCTGCTGCACAAAAGGGACCTGATGTGATGAACAGAGAAGTACACAGCAGAGTCGACAAGTGAAACGAACTCAGTCAATGCAGAATGTAGCAGCATAGAAGGACGCAAACATAGATAAAGGCTGGAAATGCTTACTAGGGATATGGAACAGCAGTGAGTAAATTGAATGGAATCCCTTACCGATGTTAAGTAATGTGGCAATCTCCACCCGATCCACATTCTTCCTGCACTCATACCGACCCCTGCTCGCCTGCATCCCCTCCATGCCACCACCACCACCCACTCTGCTGCTGGTCGCCCTGCCACCATCCGCCATCACGCTCACAGGGTTGGCATCACCACCATCGCCTGCACCCTCCCCAATCACACCAGCTGCCCCTTCCAGCAGCTCCGCCCAATCCTCCTCCACCTCTTCATCCTCCTCTTCACACTCCCTACCCTCGCCCTTCCCCCTTGGCCCCTCCTCGTGCTCTTCCGCCCTTCCTTCACTCGGCAACTTGATTCTCCCAACCACCTGCCCCTCCACCCTCCCCCCATTTTCCATTTCCTCCGCATCTGCACCCACCTTACTCACACGCCTTATCAGTCTGCCTCCACCCTTGAGCCCACAAACCACACCCTTAGATACCACCTCCCTAGACACCACGTGCCTAGCTGCAGACTTTGCCAGTGAGAAGGGGTTGACAGACGAAGCCCCAGCAGCCGGCAGAAGAGGAGAGGCGGGCGAGCGAGAGCGCGCTGGGCTGGTTGTAGCCTGAGGCGCCTTGCCAGACGGAGCAGGAGGAGTAGAGGGAGGAGCAGTTGTTGGGTTCTCAGGAAATGGAGGGGAAGTGTCTAGAGCAGCGCGAGAGGCGAGAGGGTGTGCGTGTTGAGCAATGTGAGGAGACGGAGGGGCAGGGCAGGGCGGTGCGTGGTGAGGTGGTTCACAGAACGGAGGATTGTCAAGGGAGGCACTAGGCTCCTCGCGGCACAGAGTAGGTTTCTCAAGGCATGCAGTGGGGTGGAAGGTGGTTTGGAATCGGTTGAGATGGAGGACGAGGATGCGAGGCAGGCGCAAAAAGGCTTGGGAGATGCGGCACGGTGCAGAGCGGTGACAGTGGGTGCACGCCCTGCCTTGCACTGTCTCGTCCTGGACACAGGGGGGATAAAGAGAGGAGGTATAGGGAAATCAAGAAAGTGAAACGGGATTTACCTGGTGCAAATGAGAAGGTACATGGATAACAATCAGTTGCATACGATAAGATGCAGGTCGTACCTGGAAGAAGTGTTGCAGCAGTGCTGAGAGCGGATGGTGAGTGAGCGAGGCAAGGGCAGCGGCAGCAGCAGTGGGATCGGTATCACTGCCTCTGCTACCTCTGCTGCTGCGTGCACCAGCAGTAGAGCCAGCAGGAGCAGGAGGAGGTGAAAATCCAGCAGTGGTGGGGTGAGGTGCAGGGCGCGCGAGGTAGGAGGAGGGGACTGGGAGTGAGAGACAGAGGAACTCCTCTTGACCTCTCTCTCTCCCTCCGCACCCCTCACACTGCCTCACCACTTCCACCGTTGACAGGAAATTGGTGCCCACTGCACACCCACTCCCGTCCCCAGTCCTCGCCTCCTCCACCCTCTCCTCTCCCTCTCCACCCCTCTCTGCAATCGCAGTCCTCCCTCCTCCCCTCCCTCCCTCGCGCCCCAGCTCTCCCTCCCCCCCCTCTCCTGCTCTACCCACAGGCACCCTGCCTTCTCCCAGTTTGGGGCTCGGCGTGTGGGTGTGGGCGGGGTCATGGGGTTGGGTTGGCGTGTGGGTGTGCGTGGGAGCCTGGGTGTGGGGCGGAGAGGCAGTGGCAGCGGCGATGGTGGCGGCTTCGGAGGCAAGGCAGTGCAGCAGCGAGCAGAGGAACTCGTGGGCGTCCTGCTGCTCCTGCCCCACGAAGATGCGAGCGCTTCGCCCCACGGCCCTTTTAACAGCACTCGCATCAGCCACGCCACCCGCTGTCCCCCTCGTTCGACTGCTAATGCTCCCTACAATGGCGCCACTGCCGTTGCCACGTGGCAGGCCCAGCAGCTGCCGCGTCAGCCGCTGAAGCTCAGTGGTGACGGGGAGGCGAAGGGAGGAGGAGCGGGCGAGAGGGGCGGGGATGGGCAGGTGGAGAAGGTGGGAGAGGAAGGGCGGGAGGGAGGCGAGGGCTTGCAGTGTGGAGTTGACGTAACACATGTTGATTGCATCGCTTCTGCTGTTGAGGAGACTGATGGCGGGGCGAGGGAAACGGAGGGGATGGAAACGAGCGGGTGACAGAGGGACAAATGGTAGGGAAAAGGAGAAGGGGAGGAGGGGGGGGTGGATACAGGGAAGAAAGAAGGTCCAGGGAGATGTGGATAGCAACGAGGCATGGGCAGCACGCCGGGGACACACGAGCAAGGGAACGTGGGGGTGGGGGAGAGTGACCAGGAATGGAAGAGAGAGAAACATTTGTTGCGGGTGGAAGGGAGGAAGAGGAAGGTGGAGAGCAGAGAGACAAGAAGTGCAGAACGTGCAGGATCAACGAAGGTGAGGAGAGGGAGACGTGAGAGAAAGAGAAGCAAGAGAAGGAGAAGAGGAGCGGGGAGAAGAGCGGCGCACCCTATCCTTGATCGCGGTGTTATGTGATAATGCTGTCCATCCTGCCCGTGCCCTGCCGCATCCTCCTCCGTGCCACCACAGCGCCTTCCAGCCGCACCTTCCCCTCCTCCCGTCATGAACTCGTTTCCCCGCCCTCCTCCGCCGTGCAACTTCCCTGCATCATGCTCACACGCCCACGCCTCACCATGCCCCACTCCCGCCTGCTTGCTCCCCGGCCCCGTTTCCCGACTCGCCCCTGCCTGCTCGCGTGTCCCGCTCTGCCCACCCTCCGCCTCCTCGCCTCGCATCTGCCCTGCCTGCCCGCGTTGCTGCCCCACCTGCTGCAGCACGTAGCTTCGCTGCACCTTCGCTAGCCTCTCGTCACTCCTGCTGTCCACGTCAGCATCCATCTGCAGCCGACGCTTCGCCTGCTGCGGTTGCGGTCTGCACGAGCCCTTGGGTCCGGGCCGCCACACACCTGCCACTCCGCCGCGGATAGACACCCACATGGAAAGGTGGAGCAAGAAGAAGAGGTGGAAGGGGGGTGAAGGGGGCTTGCTCGAGCAGTCACGGAGCACATTCACGGAGTCTGCCTGCATGAGCAGTGACGGCGAATGCACGAGCGGTGGAGCACGTGAGCGGCGTTGCGACGATGATGATGATGCGCGTGCCACACGCGTGCCGCAGTGTGACCGATGCATGGGTGGAAACATCAAGAGAGGCAGGAGGGAAAAGCGCAAGGAAACGGAAGCGGGAACATGATAGCGAGAGAATCATGCGGGCGCGGGAAGGCTGCAGCAGTCGCGAATGGCGCGCGACTCACCGTCGCCAACTTGAAGGCCGTCGCAAAACAACTGGCGCGATATCGGCCGCTTCAGTCTAGAATCCGCGTCCCCCTTCAACTGCCCTTTGGAAAAGCTACTGGAGAGCTCCAACCATCCTCTTTCTCTCGCGTTCCGCTCGTCTCTCTCCCGCTCCTTCCGTTGCTTCTCCTGTCGTCGTTTCTGCTCCTCCGTTCGCTCCTGCGCCTGCTGCTGCTCCCTCTGCGCCGCCAAGCCCGCAAGCGCCACAGCCCTGCCTCGTCCTGCTTATATCGGGGACAAGAGGGGTGACACACTCGCACATCATAGGTTCTTCACCCAGCATACGCAAATGCTTTCCGTCGCATTATACACCAGGATAATCGCCGGCGCGCCGCGGCATTGGATGAAGCGATTCAGAGAATGATCTTGACTCGTTTCTAGATTACACCACGGGGCGAGATATTTCCATTAAAAGTTTTGAAACGCGAACTAACGTCAACGCCGCTCACCGTGTTTGGCGCATTTCAGCAGCAGCTGGTACGCCGCGTCCGATGACGACAGCTTGCCGCCGCTCGCCATGCTCTCAGCGTCCACGGCTCGATATCAAGCTGCACGCACAGCACGCCGTTCGAAACGTTTAACAAGGGCCGTTCAATTCCACGACGGCCCTTCGCGGTCAGCCTCACCGCAGCGCTGCACGTTGGCGTTCTACCCGTCGCAACTCGCCGACGCGCGCGCTACTGCGCACGCCGTGAGGAAACGGTACGCGCTTTGGAACGGATAGCTAGTTACAACCGGACTGGGCTTGGGCTGCAATCGGCATGTGGCCCGCATGGACACCGTTTCGGCAGCAGGATTTCGCACTTCTTCAATTTGTGAAGTGACTGGGACAGCAAACTGAATCAGGCACTGCAAGCAGCAAGACGCCTTGGCAGTGGGCTTTGTTGCAGAAGGCTTCACTTGAAAATCCAGAACGGCTCTACGATGAGCATGCAGGCGAGGGCCTGAATCTCGGTTCGTCCGCACTTCTGGTTGGGGCAAGTGCAGATCCCATTGGTCCACTCAAGTTTTCACGGTTTGAATTTCAATACATCGTTGGGATTGAAGACATGTACGAATCTTCAAGCTGACGCGATTAGGTACAAACGATGCAACCAGAACCTCCCCTATATAAGACTCCAGGGCCAAAAGATAAATTCCAGTGTAAGAATTTACAAAGCCTGGATTTGTTTTGTTTTGTTTTTTTTTTGTGGACATAATCTCCTTAGACTGTGTATTTGAATGCCGGCATTGTTATGAATGAACTTTCAGAGTGCGCAGGATAACGAATAACAAGACTGAAGAAATACCGAATGACGATTACAATGACATGGCGAGAATAAATAGGGCGAATCCTAGCTAGGCGGGGACATCGGGCAAAGATGGCTCGGGAATATTGCAATTGGGGCTGGGCCGACCCGGGAGTGGTTTGCGTGAGCGAATGTAGGCCGAACCAGATTGTCGCGTGGCCCTCATCAGGGCCTGTGCTAGGATTTCGGGCATCCTGAGCCCTCAGGGCAACTTTTAAAAATTCTCAAGAATGCCCTGCTTTTTCAGGGCAATTTTTTATGGCTATCCTGAACTTTCAGGGTGTTGAGAGATATAGGTCTCTTAGCATTTCTGAAATTCGCAGTTAGACTATACAGTAGTGAAAAAGTACAATAGTGGGTCCCGAACTTGATGACGTCAGCATTCGGATTCAGCTGACTAGTCAAAGTAGCTCTAGGCCTAGGTCAACAGACAGCCACTTTCATTAGTGTCTACAGGTCAACACCCCTAGAGTGATGAATAGATACATTCGGCTACAGTATACGAACAGGTACTTTACTCTAGCTATATATTTTGTATGCTGATACCTGATACCTGATACCTGACATCTGATTTCAGATACATAGATCCTGAAACATATCACTACATGAGCTTTGCATAATAAGCTTAGACAAAGCCTCATAAACTGGCTTTAATTCATACAAGTCTTCCGTTGCCAATACTTAGTCTTTAATCCAAGATACTACGATCCTGAAAAGGGCTACGTCCCTTAACCAATTCTACGGGTTTCAAACCCATTCCATCATGGTATGAGAGCAGTTTTGGATTAAGACAACTCTCAACTATGCTTCCAATATATAACAATGGCTGCAGCAGCAGTCAATAATAGTGTACTTGTCAGAATATTATGTTTCTCCAGTCTGCAGTGGGGTACTCTGTAGTGAGTACAACCCTGTTAGGGTTTGCTATATGTATCCCAATGCTTTCTAGTTCAATCATTCCTTTCTCACTTATTTCTCTCGTCAATCATTCTCACATGGTATCAGAGCATATCGATCCTTCCAAGGGCCCACCACATTCACCACTGAATTTTTTCATACCCTAGGCGCGCGTCGCGCCTGCCCTTAATGGCCCTTCGCGGCCCCTCGTAAGGCCCTTCGCGGCCCCTCGTTAGGCCCCTTCGCGGCCCCTCGTAAGGCCCTTCGCGGCCCCTCGTTAGGCCCCTTCGCGGCCCCCCTCGTAAGGCCCTTCGCGGCCCCTCGTAAGGCCCCTTCGCGGCCCCTCGTACGGCCCCCTTCGCGGCCCCTCGTTAGGCCCCTTCGCGGCCCCCCTCGTTAGGCCCCTTCGCGGCCCCTCGTAAGGCCCTTCGCGGCCCCTCGTTAGGCCCCTTCGCGGCCCCCTCGTAAGGCCCCTTTCGCGGCCCCCCCTCGTAAGGCCCCTTCGCGGCCCCTAGTGAGGCCCTTCGCGGCCCCGTCAGGCCCCGTTTGCGGCCCCGTCAGGCCCCGTAAGGCCCCGTCAGGCCCCGTTTGCGGCCCCGTAAGGCCCTGTTTGCGGCCCCGTCAGGCCCTGTTTGCGGCCCCGTTCGGCCCCGTCAGGCCCCGTAAGGCCCCGTCAGGCCCTGTTCGCGGCCCGTTAGGCCCCGTTCACGGCCCGCCCCGGCCCTTCCTCGGCCCCGTCCCGGCCCTGTCCCGGACCTGCCCCGACCCCGGCCCTGCCCCGACCCTGTCGCGGCCCGTTAGGCCCCGTCGCGGCCCGCCCCGGCCCTGTCCCGGCCCTGCCCCGACCCAGGCCCCGCCCTCATGCCGGTCGTGGCGCACCAGGGGCCCGTGCACCGCCCCCCCCCCCCTTTTCCCGTCGCCTTACGTGGCGACCCGGGGGGGGGGGGGGCGCGCGCGGCCCCCCCCCTCCCCGCTCGCCACGCAAGGCGACGGGAGGGGCGACCTGGGAGGGCGCGCGTCGCCCCTTCTTCCGCCTGCTCTGGCGCCCTGGGAGGCCGCGCGTTGCCCCCCCCCCCCCCCCCTCCCCTCAGGTCGCCTCAACAGGCGACGGGAGGGGCGACCTGGGGGGGGGGCACGCGTCGGAGCAGCCGCCCCTGGTGCAGCCGCCCCTGGAACAGCCGCCCCTGGTGCAGCTGCCCCTGGTGCAGCCGCCCCTGGAGCAGCCGCCCCTGGTACAGCAGCCCCTGGAGCAGCCGCCCCTGGTGCAGCCGCCCCTGGTGCAGCCGCCCCTGGAGCAGCCGCCCCTGGTGCAGCCGCCCCTGGAGCAGCCGCCCCTGGTGCAGCCGCTCCTGGACCTCAGCAGCCGCCCCTGGCCCCTGGCCCCTGGAGCAGCCGCCCCTGGACCCCGCGCCGCCGCCCCTGGACCCGGTGCCGCCGCCTCCCTGTGCTGCCCTGTGCGCCCCGCGCGCCCTGCTGCGGGTACAGCAGTGGGGGGGAGGGGATTTGCCATCCCCCTACTGCGGTTGCGGCAGTGGGGGGAGGGGACCTGCAGCACCAGCCCCCCCCTCTCCTCTCCGCCCTTTTCTCCACTCCCTCCCCCTGCTGCGGGTGCAGCAGTGGGGGGAGGGGATCTGCCATCCCCCTGGTGCGGATGCGGCAGTGGGGGGAGGGGACCTGCAGCACCTGCCTGCCCCCCCCCGCCACCCCCCCCCCCCCCCCCCCCATCTCTCTGCTGCGGGTGCAGCAGTGGGGGAGGGTATGGGGGTGGCGGGTGTGGCCAACCCGCCAGCCCTGCTGCACCCCGCGCGCCCTGCTGCCCTGTGCGCCCCGTGCGCCCTGCTGCCCTGTGCGCCCCGTGCGCCCTGCTGCCCTGCTGCCCTGTGCGCCCCGCGCGCCCTGCAGCCCTGTGCGCCCCGCGCGCCCTGCTGCCCTGCTGCCCTGTGCGCCCCGTGCGCCCTGCTGCCCTCTGCACGCGCCATGCACAGCCCCCCCCCCCCCCCCCCCCCCCCCTTCTCCTCCATCCCCTGCTGCAGGTGCAGCAGTGGGGGAGGGTATGGGGGTGGCGGGTGTGTGGCATCCCCTGCTCCTCCTCCTACTCCGTCTCCCACTACTGCAGCTGCCGCTGAGGGGGGTGGGTGTGTGTGAGTCGACGGAGTGGTGCTAGGGGGTGGAGTGTGAGTGAACCTAGGGGTGCAGCAGGGGGTGTGTGAATGGGGGGTGCGGCAGTAGAGGGAGGTTGGGTGGAGGTAGCCGTCGTGTTGCTAGCAGTGCCAGTAGTCCGGAGGTGCGCTTCCGGTAGCCCAGTGATGCCGCTGCGCCAGTCGCCCGTGGGTCCGTTGCTCCTGCCGCTCGTCTTAGCCGCGGAGCCAGTTACTCCTGTAGTCCGGAGGTGCGCCTCCGGTAGCCACAGTGCGCGCCGCTCCTGTTGCCCGTGTGTCTGCAGCTTCCGCCGTTGCCTCCTCTCTCCTCTCCTATTAGTCCAGCCTCCTCCTCCTCACTTGCCCTCTGTGATAGCCTCTAGCTTTGCTTATTTATTGTGAACTTTAAACTGTTACTTCTTGTACTTGTGCTCAGAATGTGTGGTGACATTGTGATCCACCCTGAGCTTGCTTTGCTTTGCTTCTTGTGCTGATCATACCCCACTTTGACTATGGGGGTGTGTCAGAATATTATGTTTCTCTAGTCTGCAGTGGGGTACTCTGTAGTGAGTACAACCCTGTTAAGGTTTGCTATATGTATCCCAATGCTTTCTAGTTCAATCATTCCTTTCTCACTTATTTCTCTCGTCAATCATTCTCACAGTACTCGCACAAGACCATCAACAAGCACATCAGCAAACTGCTATGAGCTTCGTCAAAGTGACCAAAATCAAGATGACAACACTATTTGACGGCAAGGATTTCTATACCTGGAGTTTTGAATTCGAGCTTCTTGTGAAGGCTGCTGGCATATGGCACCTCTTCGATGGTTCTTCACCATTTCCTGCCAACGACACACCAATGCAACAGCAGAGATTCACGAGTGAGTCACTAACAGCATATACTATTTTGATTCGCAACTTGACAGCCATGGAGCAGCTGGGCATCCGATCGTTTAACACCAGCAACTCACCTGCTGAAGCCGCCTGGAGTTACCTGCAAAACCTCTACATGGGGAGAGATGCAATTTCTCAAAGCAAGATTTTATCCCAGCTCGCCAACATTCAGATGCAGCCAGGCGAGAAAGCGTCAACATATATCAACAGGAGCAGAAATTTAAGGGATCAACTGCTGAAATGCGGCGGCTACTTTCCTAAACAGATGTTTATTACAGTGCTACTTGCGGGTCTAGGACCGGAATGGAGACAATGCCGAACAGTTCTCCGAATGCAAGGGGACTTATCTGAAGGAGCTCTTTGTGCGGCTCTTCTGGCGGAGCAGAATGACTTGGACCTGCATCAATCAAGAAATCCACCATCAGAAATTGCAAGTTTCTACAGCAACAACCGACAACAAAGGATATTTTGCGACAACTGCAAGAAACCTGGGCATACCTCATCAACTTGTCGCTTCAAGATTCAGACTGAGTCACAGTCACCACTTCAGACTCCAACGATTCACCAGCAACTTCAGCAAGTACAGCAGCAACTCCAGCAACTTCAGACACAAGTACAACAGTCTCAACAATCACCACCACCAACTGCAGTTCCTGCAAAGACAAACCACAGTGTGGTTAGTTGCATGACTATGCTGCAAACTAAACCCGACAGCTCAAGCAACTGCACTAATACTTTCCCACACAGTTCAACCATACCTGCAGATTCATGGTTTCTTGATTCCTGCTGTGGACAACACATGTGTGGAGCAGACAATCCTTTCATCTTCAACCATCAGCCGCTTCAGCGCCCCTGCATCATTACAACAGCAAATAACACAGAGTTAACCGCTCATTCCACTGGCAATATACTACTGAAATCTACTCTTACTGGCATTATCCTTGAAGTTACTAATATTCTTCTGGTTGAATGCTTGGCCTTCAATCTCCTTTCAGCTTCTCAGTTGCTGGCCAAAAAGATTCATCTGCAAGGAGATATCAACAGCCATAAGTTTTTACTCAGCAAAGGACAACTACTATTGGGGAAAGCCATTCCTCACAATGGCGTACTCCTCTTACAGTTTAGCAGTCTTCAGGTTGAAGAAACACCTCCAGCAGCCACCGAGCTCCAAGAAACATTTCCAGCAGCTGCCACAATGTTCAGCAGTTCTGCAGCAGTCTCAGCTTCACCCGTAGCAGCCACGGTCTTCTCTATTGCAACAGAAAATGACTTGCAAGGAAGTCAATTTCCAATTCCAGCTCAGGAAAATTCTGCTGAAGACATACAGATGGAGGAAATTTCCTTAACTCGCCAACGTCTTCCTGTCTTCGATCTGTCTCCTCCACGCACTCCTGCAACTTCCATAGTCACCATGCTTTTACTGGTAACACTTACAGCAGCTAACACTATTCTGCTATGTTACCTAGCAGCTCCTACTTTTCTCTCTGGGGCGATTTTCGGAACTCTGGCACAAGACTGGAGGTGTTCCAAGTTTCCCGACGAACCCCTCCGAGCTCCATTACGATGTCCTCCTGATGGCCATCGTCCACCACCCTTTTCGACAGAAAGTTTCCTTCTGCCCGTGCCGCGGACGTTCTCTATTTCGTCTCTACACTACGCGGGTTTGCACGCTCATTGGAGACGAGAATCAACGCCCAAGAAAAAATTCCAGTCTATTCGCCAACGCATCGACGATTTTATTTTGTGGAAGTTTGCTGTCGGTGCACGCGTCATCAACGCAGTTGACAACATTCCAAATACAACATTTTTTGACAACCATGCAACAGTTGCTGACGAAGCTGTCGATTTTGTCCTACATCCGAAACCACCGAGCGAAGCTGTTATAACTGTCGAATTCCCCTTCCCCGAAATTTGGCCCTGCCACCTCAGCATGGTCCCCCGTGCAAGTGGCGAGGTGTCCTACGGGGAGTGTTTACCACTCGCCCCAACAATCCGACCCTTTGCGTTTCATCTTGCGAAATTGAGGGGGGAAGAAGAGTACGATTTACCCTGGTGAATATATCGCAATTTCGCCACGTCGAAGTAAGCGACGACGACCTCATGACATCACCACGACATACAAACACGTCCTTTACAGTGCGGAATTTGCAGAAATGGAGGGGAGTGTTGAGAGATATAGGTCTCTTAGCATGAAATTCGCAGTTAGACTATACAGTAGTGAAAAAGTACAATAGTGGGTCCCGAACTTGATGACGTCAGCATTCGGATTCAGCTGACTAGTCAAAGTAGCTCTAGGCCTAGGTCAACAGACAGCCACTTTCATTAGTGTCTACAGGTCAACACCCCTAGAGTGACGAATAGATACATTCGGCTACAGTATACGAACAGGTACTTTACTCTAGCTATATATTTTGTATGCTGATACCTGATACCTGATACTTGACATCTGATTTCAGATACATAGATCCTGAAACATATCACTACATGAGCTTTGCATAATAAGCTTAGACAAAGCCTCATAAACTGGCTTTAATTCATACAAGTCTTCCGTTACCAATACTTAGTCTGTAATCCAAGATACTACGATCCTGAAAAGGGCTACGTCCTTTAACCAATTCTACGGGTTTCAAACCCATTCCATCATGGTATGAGAGCAGTTTTGGATTAAGACAACTCTCAACTATGCTTCCAATATATAACAATGGCTGCAGCAGCAGTCAATAATAGTGTACTTGTCAGAATATTATGTTTCTCCAGTCTGCAGTGGGGTACTCTGTAGTGAGTACAACCCTGTTAGGGTTTGCTATATGTATCCCAATGCTTTCTAGTTCAATCATTCCTTTCTCACTTATTTCTCTCGTCAATCATTCTCACATGGTATCAGAGCATATCGATCCTTCCAAGGGCCCACCACGTTCACCACTGAAATTTTTCCTACCCTAGGCGCGCGTCGCGCCTGCCCTTAATGGCCCTTCGCGGCCCCTCGTAAGGCCCTTCGCGGCCCCTCGTTAGGCCCCTTCGCGGCCCCTCGTAAGGCCCTTCGCGGCCCCTCGTTAGGCCCCTTCGCGGCCCCCCTCGTAAGGCCCTTCGCGACCGTTGGCTCACAGTGTACAACACTGTTTCACATGGACGTGTGGGGCCCAGCCCGCGTCCGTGGACAGGGTCACGAGCGTTACTTCCTGCTGGTGGTTGACGACTACTCGTGTTACACCACTGTCTTCCCCTTGCGCTGCAAGGGTGAGGTCACTGAGGTGTTGATCGACTGGATCCGCGCTGCCCGTCTCCAGCTCAGAGAGAGTTTCGGCTCGGACTTTCCTGTTCTGCGTCTGCACTCCGACAGAGGTGGAGAGTTTTCCTCCGACCTTCTGCGAGCCTTCTGTCGTGCGGAGGGCATCCGCCAGACGTTCACGCGTCCGGCCTCTCCACAGAAAAATGGGATTGCTGAGCGCCGCATTGGCATGGTCATGGACGTCGCTCGCACGTCCATGATCCATGCGGCTGCTCCCCATTTTCTATGGCCATTTGCGGTTCAGTACGCAGCGCATCAGATCAACATTCAGCCCCGGGTCTCCATGCCGGAGACCTCCCCTACTCTGCGGTGGACGGGGAAGGTTGGCGATGCGTCAGCGTTCCGTGTCTGGGGATCTCGAGCTTTCGTCCGTGACTTGTCTGCAGACAAGCTGTCCTCCTGTGCTGTTCCTTGCGTCTTCCTTGGGTTCCCCCCTGACGCGCCAGGTTGGCAGTTTTACCACCCCACCTCGCGCCGTGTTCTGTCCTCCCAGGACGTCACGTTTGATGAGTCGGTTCCGTACTACCGTCTCTTCCCCTACCGCGCTGCTCCCCTCCCCCCCCCGCCGCTCTTCCTCGCGCCTGGTCCCCCTCCGGTAGACTCCCTCCCCCCTCAGGGTCCTGCCCCCTCAGGTGTGTCCGAGGTAGACGCAGTCGAGCCTGTCGAGGTAGCTGTTGACTCTGGTGCTACTAGGGGTGCTGAGCCTGCGGGTGCCGGGTCTGGGGGTGCTGAGCCTGAGCGTGCGGAGCCTGGGGGTGCTGGGTCTGGGGGTGCTGAGCCTGGGTTTGCTGAGTGTGGGGGTGCGGAGCCTGACGGTGCTGGGCCTGGAGGTCTTTCGGGTGCTTCGTCCCGGCGGGAGCTACCCTCTCCACAGGAGCTGCGCGAGTGGTTTGCTCGGCGCTGGAGCCGTGCTGGTGGAGCTGGTGGTGCTGCCGGTGCTGGAGGTTCTACTGCTGCTGGGGGTCCTGGAGCCACGGGTCCCAGAGGTGCTCGTACTGGAGGTACTGGAGCTGCTGGGCCTGGTGGTGCTACTGGTGCTGGAGCTGCTGGCGGAGCTGGAGCTGGCGGTGCTGCTGGAGTAGGTGCTACTGGAGGTACTGGAGCCGGAGCTGCTGCGTCTTCTGGTGTTCCTGCTGGAGCTGGAGCTGCTGGAGGTACTGGAGCTGGAGGTGCTGCTGGAGCCGGTGCTCCTGTGGGTGCTGGAGTTGGCGCTACTGGAGCTGCTGGAGGTGCTGCTGGTGCTGGTGGTGCTGCTGGAGTTGGAGCTGACGCTAGGGGTGCTGGTGCTGTCCCTGCTGGTTCTGGAGGCGCTGCGCGGCCGCGGCCGTACTTCGTTCCGCTCCTTGAGCAGGTTCTTGGTCTTCCGTCTTCTTCTGGTCCTGCTCCTTCCTTAGAGTGTCCACCGCCTGTCCAGTCCGAGTCACAGTTACAGCTGGCCTCCCCACTGCCTGCTCCTTCTCCCTACGCTGGTCCTACTGGAGGTCTTGCTGAGCGTCGTGAGCCTGAGTCGCGTCCTGCGGCACCTGTTCGTGCTGCTCGCACTGGTCATCGTGTTCCACGTCAGCGTCCTCCTGCAGTCCCGGGCACGCACCAGATGGCACTGCGTCCTTCCACTGCTCCGCAGCGTGTCCCTTTGCCGTCTCCCCCAGAGTCCTCTCTTCCTGCTCTTGCTGACCCGGAGTCTGACTCCCTTCGTACTGCAAGTCCTACTGTCACGCGTCTCCTGGCCACTGTTGTCACTGACCCTTCCTTTGATTCCACTGCTGCGTCTGCCTTAGTTGCTGAGCTTGTCGACTTCGCTGCTCACTGTCGTCTAGACTACGCCGCTAGTCTTGTTGCTGAGTCTGAGTCTGTCTGTCCTTCGTCCGTCGGGGGTGAGTGTGCTCTTAGCACGGACGTCCTTGAGGACAGGCAGGAGGAGTTCCAGTGTTTTGCTGCTACTTTACCTCATCTCGTGTCCATGCTGCTTGCCCCTGAGGGAGACCCGGATGCACCAGACATCCCGACCCCGCGCTCTTACGCAGAGGCGATAGAGGGTCCCTACTCCTCTCAGTGGCAGTCAGCCATGGACGCAGAGATGGCTTCCTGGAAGTCCACAGGCACCTACGTCGACGAGGTTCCCCCACCTGGGGCGAACATCGTAAGTGGCATGTGGATTTTCAGGGTGAAGCGGCCGCCGGGTTCTCCGCCTCTCTTCAAGGCGCGTTACGTGGCTCGAGGCTTCAGTCAGCGGCAGGGAGTTGACTACTTTCAGACCTTCTCCCCGACCCCGAAGATGACCACTCTTCGGGTTCTGCTGCACGTTGCTGCTCAGCGTGACTACGAGCTTCACTCTCTTGACTTCAGCACTGCATTCCTACAGGGCAGCCTGCACGAGGAGATCTGGCTGCGCCGCCCACCTGGCTTCACTGGGTCGTTTCCTGCTGGTACCCAGTGGAGCCTCCGGCGGCCAGTCTACGGTCTCCGCCAGGCGCCCCGTGA